GTGATTCTCGGTGTTGTTTTCTTCCCATTCTAGTCATTTTCAAGAGTGAAAGGGCTCCTGATCGAGCTAGAATCATGTCTCAAGAGCTTTGCATGCTCTTAAAACCCTTATGCTCTCGCTCAAGAAGGCGATTACTCACCCCGACTATTGCAGTGCGAATCCCGGACGGATTGACGAGACCTCGAAGTCTTCGAGATATTCTACTCAATACCGCTCAGCCCGTCTCACTATCACACCGAGTTTCCATAGCACAGGAGATGGCTAGATCAATCGCATATGTGCATATTTTCGGCTTTGTTCATAAGAATCTGCGGCCCGAGACGCTGCTAGCTTTTGAATCTCCCAAGAAAGAGTCGCCATCGATATTTCTAGTTGGATTCGAAGGATTCCGTAAAGAGGAAGGCAAGACTGAGCGAATCGGCGACTATGTTCTGGAGAAGAACTTATACCGTCATCCCTCGCGACAAGGTGTACATCCTAGTGACGACTTCGTCATGCAGCACGACATATACAGCTTGGGCGTGAATTTACTCGAGGTTGGTCTGTGGCACAGTTTTGTCAACTATGACTCTCAGGGCATGAATCCGAGCTTATCGCCGCTGTTAGGCATACCAGTAGCCAACGCCTCAGAACAGGAACGTTGCCAATTCCTCCTATCATCAGCTAAGGACCGCATGGTTGCCCTTGCTAGAACTGACTTGCGTCGGTGTATGGGAACGCAATACTCAGACGTTGTAGAGACGTGCTTGACATGCCTCGAACCAGGAAACGATAAGTTTGGTGATCAGCGAGAGTTTGAGGACGAAGACGGAATTCGTGTTGGAGTGAGATACATTGAAAAGGTGAGTATATTCTTCCCCTAAAATTTTGGTTCTCGTGGGTTAACTTCAATTAGGTTCTACTCCGTCTTAACTGTTTGTATGTGTAGTGTAGCATATCCCATCACCTACCAGATGGGAGTTAGAATGTAGTATATTCTCCGGATCATTATCATCGGGAAACACCTGATCGACAAGAGAGAAAAACTGATGTTGTCCATTATTCTGTACCGCCCCCCACCGCGCCCAGTAAACTATTGCTGAAGGATTTGATCTTTTCAAACATCTCACCCCTTCGCATCCTCTCGTCCAAACTCAACCCTCCACCTCCGTAACACTCATCGCCATAGCGCTATACCCAAACGCGATGCCCTTCCCAGCCTCCTCAACGAACTTCCCAACAGCATTGAGCGCCTTCTCCGAAAGCAGATCCTCGTCCTCGCCCAACACACAATTCATATCAACGGGCCCCTGGCGACACCCTTCGAGCTGGTATAATCGTCCGCTCTTGTGGGACTTCACGAACGTCATGTACGCAAAGGGCGGCTCGGCCATGATGTCCGCAGGCGGCGCCGTGTTGCCACGCGATGCAACGGAGGCGTGCGCCGCCTCCAGCTGCTCGTCGGCTTCCAGGGCCGCGATACGCTGGGCGCTGTCCAGGGGTGCGCAATGTTCGATGAGGCGGGCGATGTGTGTGTTTGGCTCTAAATAGGGGCTGGTTAATGTATATGCTACTCGCCGAGTACTTCTGAGGAATAGCAGAGAAACAGATGGCCCCAAGCGTCCCATCAAACCTTGTGGCCAATCCCGCATGCAAGGCATACAACGCATAAAGCAACAGGCACCGTATGTAATAGCTGACAAGGACCTCTTTCTCAAATACTCATTTTGAAAGCTCCGAACACAGGAAACCCCCCAACAAGGAAGAAAGAAACTCACCAATAAACCCCCGCGCATCGCCATTACTAACAGCATGCAAAATGGCATACAAGCCGCACGCATTGCCGATAGTCTGGCGATAAAACATAGCGTCTTCCTCATCGCCCTTCTTGTCATGGGCCATGACATCCTTCTCCTCTTCTCTCAGGCGCACCGTATATCCGTCCGGGGCCGGGATGACGAAGATAAGCGCCAGCGCGGGCCGCGGCACGAAGGCCAGCAGCTCTTTGTCTGAGGGCGAAAGCGTGAGAACGTCGTGGAACGCCAGACGCTTCGACATGCCGAGTCGGTGGATGAGCTCTGTGAAGAGCTCCGGGTTGGACTCCAGGGGGATGAAGTGCTTTTTGTCGTTGGGCGCCATTTTTTTGCTGTAGAGTCAAAAATATATAGCCGAGAATCAAGGACTGGGATGATTATGTGTGTCGCCTTAATGTGGACTTGTATAGACGTCGTCTTCTCTCGCTTCTCTTAGTAGTGTTGAGGTCGACTCTCGAGGGCGATACAGTAAACGAGTTACCCGTAGAAACAGTCGGAGGTGTAGGGAGCGTCCGCCTTTGGACTATGGTAGAATGGACTTGGAATTTGTCGCTTATTGTTGTTTATCGTTAAACGAGTGAAGTTATGACGATGCGTCTTCAACGGGCATTAGGTGAGGAGGTGCTTGCGTAGGTTGCGGCTGCCTGGGATTAAATTGCTTCTGCACTGTGTTGTATCACTGTTAGCACCACTGCGTCCCCAAACCAAAGTTTGAATCAACTTGGAAGATCGAAATATACGTTGTAACGTTTATATGAATGTTCTAGAAGTGGTATCTACTAATAGATAAGTATTATACAAACCTGACCCGTTCTTTGGTCTGTCATAATATACATATCGGCAAGTTAGCTGCATCGCTTTGATCTAAAATTAGACATTAAACCCATTCCTTGGGTTCTCTGAGAACTTCAACGAGGCGCTGCTCGCGGCTCCGCAGCTCTGGTTCGTACATGTACCGCCATGAGGCCGTTAAAGGTAAGCTCATGAGAATACTCTCGACTCTAGAGCCAGGCACATTTAGGCCAAAAGCAGTGCCACGGTCGTGCACAAGGTTAAACTCGACATATCGTCCTCTGCGCACCTGTTGCCACTCCTTCTCTTTCTCGGTAAATGGCATATCTTTCCTCTTTTCGATGATAGGGAGATACGACGGTAGGAAACTCTTTAGGCAGTCCTGGATGAAGGCAAACGTGTTTTCGGAATCGGCCACCGTCTCATCTAGATCGTCGAAGAATATGCCACCAATACCGCGTGATTCACCACGGTGCTTGTTGGAGAAGTATTCATCACACCACTTCTTGAAGCGGGGGTAGTAGTCCTTGTCATGCTTGTCGCAGGCCTCCTTGAGTGTCCTGTGAAAGTGTACTGCGTCCTCGTCGAACAGATAGCTTGGTGTCAGGTCGCTTCCACCACCAAACCACCAGGCTTGGGATGTCCCATCTGGTCGCATAGTCTCGAAGTACCGGTAGTTCAGGTGTACAGTCGGGGCCATGGGGTTTCGTGGGTGAAGGACCAAGCTAAGACCAAGGGCGTAGAAGTCAAGGTTGTCGACTTCGGCCGCTAAATTTTTGTGATTTTCTCTCATCTTCGCAATTGCCGGCTTAGGTAGTGTTCCATATACAACGCTGATGTTCACACCAGCCTTTTCAAAGACATTGCCTTCTTGTAAGACGCAGGACAGACCGCCGCCTCCGTTCGGGCGGGCCCACGTATCCTCCTGGAACCTCTTCCCGTCGACCTGCTCGAGCGCAGACACTATTTCTTTCTGCTGCTCACGTATGAACTTTTCCATACGCAGGCGCATCGGCGATTGGTCGGTTATGCCCTGCTCCCGTTTTGTGCGTTCGTCAAGGTCTGCGAGGGAGCGCGAATCGAATTTGGTGGGTTTCTGAATAGCCTGGAGGACGGGGAAGGGTTAATTGGGTTCCCAATACTTTAATGTGGTTATACAGAGGGTTGTACCATAGTGTAGGCTGCTGCTGACATACAAGCAGTTCCAATGGCAGCTATTATATAACCTTGGGCGCGGCGCGAGCTTTGGTTATTTGTCTGCGAAGTGAATGGACGTCGTAGAGACTGTGAAGGCTGGGATAGTCTTGGTCGCGTAAAAGCGAAGCGATATAGTTGTCTCTTAGCCATAGCTGGGGTTAATTTATATGCAAAACCAGACCAGAAAGGCCGCGAAGTAGAAAGATTTCGCCAATCGTCAGATTAACGATCGTAAGATTTATGAGCCAGGAACCTCAGGAGTATCCTGACCATGAGCGAAAGTCGGACATTGCAGGGGATTAGGGATGGTGACGGGAATAGGTAGGTCCATAGGTACCTAGGTATCAGACCACGCTACCTAGATACCCCTCTTCAGCTGCCGGTCAGCTGGCTTTGCCCATGACAGCTGTGACTTGCTCTTCCAAGGTTCCCTTCCAGCTCTAACATAAGTTAAAAAGGCACATGCCCATGTCGGACAGTTGGCTAGACTAAGCTGCCCGTTTTGAGGCTTGGTGAGTTACAAAACCTAGCTGCACCATGTCTTTACTTCTTATGACTTGATCATTGATTTTGAACCGCCTACGACACTAGAGCGCTACTTGGACTCGATTCCTTAGCTTACCCAGAACACCACCAAGATTCCAACTTCTTAACGTGCTCAGTCTCATAGACTTTGTCAGGGAGATCTTTATCCTGATTATAGACGCTGAGGAAGCCGGCTTGGATCTCTGTGTCTAAGTAGAGGCTGCTTGCTCTCTTTGCCGACCTTCTCATCAATGGGTCCTGCTAGCAGTATTAAGATGGATAAAAGAAAGTTACCTATAGTCTCTACTCTAAACTTGCTGTCAGTGTCATTGCTTGTAGTCAACAAGTTCCTTCTAAGTGAGCTTATTGAGGTTCGGGATGTTTGAGACCTAAGACTAACTAGTCAATCTGCAACTTGTTTTCTTTCCGCCTTCGTCTAACCCAGAAGCCCACGGCTCCTATTTACTGTGTAAATGATTGACTATGACAGCAGTTGCAGCTATCAACTGCAGGGGGGGAAAAATAATAACCTAAAGAATCTATAAATGTAAAAGATTACCTAATCATCCAGAACGTGTTAGCGAACTGCGAAAGGACCCACAACTAACCGCGCAAACCCCCCACTAACAATGCTAAGAAAGAGAACTTTCCCACAAAAAGTGCAGAATTGACACAAACAGAGAAAAAAAAAGTTGACCTCGCTGGGGGTCGAACCCAGAATCTCCTGATTTCTATGAAAGACCCTTTGTTGGGTTCTCTCGTAGTCAGACGCCTTGCCATTGGGCCACGAGGCCAGCGGATCGCTGCCAACACCATCGCATTGTGGCGGTTTCTGATGTACACGTTTTGTCGTATAATTCTATAAGACCAAACCACTATGAGATACCTAGTCTTGGCCTTCTTCGCCTCATCTTTGGAAAACATACACATCTTTGTTCTTGGGGTCTGGTCATATAGCAGAAGAAGTTGATAGTAGACAAGGTGCGCATATAAAACACAGCTTTTTAACAGGATGCCTACTTAGATAGTTGGGCGATGTCAGCTAATCACGGAATTTCAGTCATAATTATTTCACTGTCACGGACCAGGCGGGATCAAATCAAGGTGCAAAGTTAGTGGCAATTGTTATTAGAGCATAGTCTTTGCTCAAAGCCTCCCATATTTTCTTTTCTTTTTCCTTTTCACCATACACTGTGGGATTTATCTTGTTCCCTTCGTGACGTTACTCCCAGAGACATGTCGGGGCATCGCAGACAACAGCCGTCACAAGGCCAGAAGACTCAATGAACCACCGATTCCCATCCTCTGTCTGAAGAACAGAGTCCCTCAAGCTTACGGAGTGGACATTCGGTCCCCCCAGCCCTTAAGTATCTCTTCTAAAGCTAATTAGGAGCGATCATTCTTTTTGTGTTATTATTTAGACATCTTCTCCGTAAAGGAGGGAAAGCAATTTTTGGTATGCTTGATTGGCGAATTTATTGCATTCGTCGAGATACCAGTCCGCAACCTGTCGTAAAAGCAGACATTTTTATGTCTTGGCCTATTTTCCGAGTGAAAATCGAACTCCACGGCCAATGAATATCCACCAGGAAGGAGGAGATTCATTGAACTCCTGTACTTCGTTCCGCAGGAGCGTTATCATCTTCTTTTCCATCTGTACCTCGGTCACCTCCAACTTTCGCGTCTGCGTCTAACTAGGAAAGGTCCTTCCAGGGGTCTGAATCCAGGGCCTGGTCCACATGACTGCTCGAGTTGAGGGGTATGAGGGTATCAGCGTACTCGTGCGCATCATTCTTCTCGGTCAGGTATATGTAACTTGGATCGCGGAGGCAAATGTCGAACGTGAGATCCACTAGGTGTACGGATGATGGCAGCTTGCACTTGGTCTTGCCGTTGCGGTATTCACAGTCCGGATTCTGGCAAACATGACCGAGAACACAAGAGGCGTTCCTACAATTCCCTCGCTTGGGGCAGGGCAACGAACGTGATAGCCACTCTAGCGCTGGGAGGAGGTGTTCTGGGAGTCGGTCGTGATTGTACTTGCAGCTCTCGTCGTAGCAGGAATTCGTTAGTTGTTTGTTGTTGCAGAATTTCTGGTCGCCGGATAGTTCCTTAAGTTCGTTCATAGCAAAATAACTAGGCTGTGGCATGTATGCGTCTAGGCGCTGTAGCTGTTTATTCACGGCTACATGGCCGTCTGGTATATCGCTCTTTCTTGGTAGTTGAGATGCAGGATCGCTTCTCTGCCGCATCATGCCTGATGACTGGTTATCATGATCTTGGAATGATGTAGGGCTTGGTGATTTCGTTGATTTCAAGCGACCATAGTTGGTCGTGAAATCGACGTCGAAATTATTCAGGCGGCCCATTTGGGAAGACTGAGGGGGCTTGTGCGAGTTTGCTGAGGTCGGGGTTTTGGCATCAACGTGCGCGTTCCTGCACCGGCTTCCGTACCCACATTTGCCAGCTTGGTAGTATTGGCATACTTTCTGTGGCTCCCCTGAGCCATTGGCCTGGTACGCTGTTTTGATCGTAGCAGAAGGGCCAAACGAAGGGGTCGTCTTCATCAGGTCGGCGCTTGAATTGGCTCTTGTGTGGGATACTGCCCCATCAAGAAGCACCGAACGGAAGACGCCAGGCAGTTCTTCGATTCCCAGGTCCAATTTGCAGAATTGCTCATGAAACATGAGGCCCGACGATCGTATGAGTGTGACTCTGTTACGGTCGCCTCTAAACTTGGTCAAGTCTGAAATGTAGCCGCCGTCGTGGCAAGCTGCGAAATAAATGTGCTTGCATTGCGCATTCTCGGCATACAGGTCTAGGAGAGCTCGTATCTTGAAATCAGCACCCTCTTTGAGCTCGCCTGCATCAACGAAGTCCGTAAGTCCATAAGATCTGTTGAAATTGGCCATAAACGGGGAGAGCGAGCGCTTGTCGACACCAGCGAGGTCATGTTTAGAAAGAATTTTAGACAGAGTGGTTAGGTTTGCATAGATGCGAATTACAATCTCGCAGTTGTCTAGCCCTTTAGCCTGGAGGCTTTTCTTGATTGCGTTGTTCAGATGTTGAGCAGCTTGGGAGCCGCCTTCAGCCCCCCGGGTAAGGAATTGATCATCGAAGATATAACCGTCTCCATCAATGAGAACCAGCACGAAAGGGTTTCGTTCTGACCCACGCGCAAGCTGTTTATAACGTTCTCGGCCTGCTTTCTCCTCTTCGTAGTCACTCTTGAGCAGCTTGTAGCTTTCTAGGAGATCGGCGTAGCGTTGTAGGAAGTCTTTCTCTGCAGTGCTCTTGCGAAAGCCAGCCAGCTCCTGCGTTGCATCTTCTAGTTCCTTGTCGGTATGCATCCTGAAGGTAGTACGGACTAAGCTAGTCCAGGAAGGGTTGATGGATAATTAATGGGTTGAGGGAGTGTGAAGAATGGGAACTGAAGAAGTGAATGCTATCAAACAGAACCAACTCTTCCGTGCAGTCTGGTTCCAAGTTGTTCCTGAAGCGACCGTACCAAAGTGACTGAGTGAATGCTGGCGATGCATACAAAAAGTGAAAATCGAAGAGGATGAAAAAGATGACTCTTGCACAGGCATGGGAAGTTCCCAAGAGTCCAAATTCACATGCGGTGAAGAGGTGGGCAATGGTTGTAGGTGGGCAGAGGTGAACTGGAGACTGGAGGGGCTTAAATCGGATCAGTACTTGTCCATCCAGGCGGTGGCACGGTGTTTTAGGCGGTCTACAGTGCCCCAAGTACCGCGCAGGCGATAAGAGATCAGTGCTACAGTGGGGGGAAACAAATACCGCGTTTTTTCTATTTCGCACTAAAACTCAACTGGAACAACATCATGTAACTTCTGATATTTGTATATAAATAAATACTGAAAAAAAAAAAAATACAATTAAATAAATAAAATCCCTTTATTAAGGAGTTAATATTGTATTTTTCGCATTTTTAGGGGTGGACATGTAGCTGTTTAAAAATCTAAGTTTTTGAAAAGTTGTAATTTTGTATGTAAAAACAAGAAAAAAAAAGAAATTTTTCAACAAGATTTTTTGTTTTACATATAAATCAACCCGAAAAAATCGAAAAAATCAAATATCAATTGTCTAATAAAAAAAATTTATTTGTTTAACTATCTGATTTTTGTTGGTATTTACTTACATACGAGTATCAGAAGTTATGTGACGTTGTTCTAGTTGGGTTTGGTGCAAAATAGAAAAACGCGGTATTTGTTTCCCCCCACTGTAGCGTTATCGCGAGTTGGCTCCCAGCAACTCAAGCAAACAAGCCTCCTGTTGAAAATGCCCAGGGACATCAATCTCGTCAGCAAAGGGGTTTGCTTTACTAAGGAGTCTTCAAAAGAAAGGTGTTCTAGAAAAGACAATTGCTACGAATTTTTATGTTTTCATAAAGACCACCATCAACGATAATCTAAATACTTGCATCTTGCACCAGTTTGCTCTTGAAGGCACTCGTTATTATAGGACCTACAGTTACTAGATCGCCTTCGCTAGCTAATTTTTTGGCTACCTACCTAGGTAGGTAGTCTTCATTCAAAAGGCCTGTTAAAGAGTAGCTACTGACCTGCCTTTTCATTTTCGGGGCTTCTTGTCACATGCTAGTGTACATATATCACACACGAGTGTTGCACGTACGTTAAATATTCTGGGTATGTATAGCTGAAAGACTTCCTTTGCCTATGCCTACGCTGCAAACCTCCTGTGACCTACCTCACTCTGGAGACAACTTCCCTGACACTCTCTAAAACAAACTACAGAGGGCTGACCAAAGTATGTTCGGATCCTCTAGTACCACTATATTGCTGCTATGCTTCCTTATCCATTACTTATTTTGTCCAACGCATGCCAGAACTGTAAGCAAGCCTAAGTTAACATGTCTAGGTGTTGTCCTACAAGCCCTTCTTGAATCACCATTACCGGCACTTAATAACAGATAGGAGGTATCAGTGACAAGACCTTGAATATATTCGCTTAATTTTCTTACTTTATACGAAGTTTAATGAGTGTAAACTAGCATACCAAACAAAGCCCCAATAACGCCAAAGACGCTGGCATCCAAGGTGAGACGGTAAAACTACCTCAAATCGCTGTCTGGCTAGAAATATGCTGTTAGCCCGCCAAATGAGCCCACATTGTCCTAATCCCATACACTGATCCTGATGATTTTGCCGTGAACCAAACTGAAAACTGCCCTCGTGTATCTCGATAATGCAGTGGTCTCGTAGGTTATCTGCCTTGTAACCCTAATCAAGAAGGTTATCTAGATCGTAATATTGCAGGTCGTAATCTTGCAGCCGTTCCAAGTCACCGAGCTGCTCAAATGAGTAGAATCCCTAGTTCAGCAGCCATTTGAGCTTCTGCCATGAAAGGTGCTTGAATTTCAGATATTTCAAGTGCGACACAAGATGGCGTTCAAGTTGCTGCTCCCGCTTACTGAACATCCAGGTAGCAGGTGGGTGCCTAAAGGTATCTCTGGACGCCAAGTGGTATGCTTCATACTTCCCCTGTGTGCTAAAGTGCTCACGGTCCTTAGAGTACGTGGCTGCAAACGTCAAGACAAGATACCTTCTGTTCATGTCATTGAGAGGAATGTTCATAACCTCTTTATCAACCAATGCAGTGAATTTCTTGATTGTAACAGCCCTGTTATTGGTCAGTCTGTAAAGATAACTCAAAGGTGGCTTTGCAGGAGTTTGTACAAATTGTTTTGGACAATGTCATAGAGGGTCTTGAGTATCGTAGTAGGAGAGCCATTATTGCATTGTCCACCTGGTAG